AGAAAATTAGATGGATTTTGAGAAATAGTTTAGAGACAGAACTAATAGAAAATGATCTCCAAAACATATATTAGGTTTTAATTTTTTTCTACTTATAGCAATAGGAGACTCGCTAATTAAATTATTTCCCTCAAAATGAGGCTGGTTGCTTAAAATTTTGCACAGCCATACTAAGAAATGTTATTTATCTCAATGTTTATCAGTATGTATTAACTGTATATGTCTGATGTTCCTGATATAGTACATGAACCGTAAGCCCATGTATGTCCAGATATGTCCGTATGAGACTAGGAAAGTGCATGAATATGAATGGATACCGAAGGGACCTCAACATTGGGTACCTCAGGTAGAATGGGACAAGGGGAAAAAGTTTCACTATGTCTTCCTTTAAGCATTTCCTATAATGTTTGGCTTGTTAAGTTGACTATGTACTGCTATTGTAATTTTTTATAATTCCACTCACATGAAGAAAGTTATATTCAAGATCACTCGTTAACTGTCACATCCTTTTTCCATGGTTGTTGAGTTTACTTCACCTATTTGAGTTTGGGAAAGATTCCATGGATATGCCTTGTTGAAGTTGAAGGACAGAAGATTGTCTTATTACTTCTCCTGTCTCTATAAGATGTGACAGTGCTTTGAGGTAAAATTTAAGAGCTCTAAACAAATGCAAAATAGTATTCCCCTTTTGAACACTTTTGGCAAAGAGAATCATTCTATTTCAGAGTTGGAACTACAATGTATAAGGTGTTTATAGGGGTTCAGGCAAATTCTGGTGGCAAACTTGTCACTGTGCGTATCATTTTCTTTATTTTGAAAAATTTTCTTTGTACTTTCCTCTCTCCATGCGTACAACAAAAGCAGTGGAAGTCGCTGAAAGAAATATACATGGACAAAGGTACACTATATAAATAAAAACAAAACATTAGGATCAGGGCATAATTGGATGGTATTGATTCAGCTGCGTTAAGAAGGACCAAGATAACACAGGCTTAAACAAGATAGAAAGTTTATTTCTCACTCACATGGAAGTCAAACCTGACAGGAATCCAGCGGGGTGGGGCTTGACCACCTTCTAGGAGTCTGTCTATATTTTT